CGCTCTGTCCAGGGACACCAGTCCGACGGAAAACACCCCCCTTTCCATTTTTAATTTTTTTTTTATCTTTTTAGAACCCTAGACCGTGAGCTGGCACTGTACAACATGCACAAGGGAAACAGGTAACAACAGGAAGAGTAATTCTCTTTTTTAACGTTAGGCCTGTGTTTTTCTCATTCACTTTATGTACCACACATGCGCCCAAGACAAAATTCTTGAATGGATTTTACATCATTTACTTCTTTGAAAAGCATGATCAATGCTTTTCCTATTCCTTGAAACCCCACAGCCGAATAATTATTAGACAGACATTGTCTATAATTAATACAAGTAAAAAGAGCAAATACTCTAAGTGGTGTGGTCCAGACTTCAGAAAGTCTGTAGAACACCTGAAAAAGCACATAAATAAATAAAAAATTACTGTGCTTGCAACCTTGTTATTCAGAGATGTTTCTCACAGCGTTGTACCACAGCTTAGGAAATCAACTATAGATGCAACTGCGGGGGGGATCACAGGTCTCTCCCAAAGCCATGTTCCAACTGCCATGACCTGCACTGGAGTGCAGCAAGCTGTCTGTACACTTCTAGAAGACACTACTCACTGCGCAGATGATGGGCAGTAATCCTGGCCCTAAGACCATGACTTAGCATCTTTAATATTAATCCCTGCTTGCACATGGCAGAGATGTTCTCTCTTTTAAGCACTCAGAACTAAGAATACCCCCAAACTTTTTTGTTCCATTTTGGACTTTTGGTATTGCAGAAAATGTTTCCATACTCAACCACTGTTTAAACAGAAAAAAAAATATTAAAAATTCATATTTAGTTTTATCCCTCTGATATTTAACACACAACTGTCACTTATGCACCTCATTAGAAGCAATGTTTTAGAATTGCTATTTCCAACATCTGAATTCACAGGTGCATGGCATTTTTCAGAGTATCTGAATACCTTGAAGAAGGAGTCTGTGTTTATCCGATGTGTTTCTCAGTAGCTTGTGCTTCATACTGCTGCTACTGGGAGCTTGGCTGGTGCAACCTGCAAGTTGCATAGAACTTGGTGCATTCGGTCATTTTTTAGCTTTACATTGCTACAATAACCAGTGGGAGACAAACCCCCAACTATCTTCAACTTCCCTTTGTAACATACCTCAAAAATTAGCCTGAATACTTTATTTTCCAGTTAATTGCTGTAATGGCCACAACCATTTCCTGAATAAGGCATTTAATTTGCAAAGTCAGAAGCTAAAGAGGAAGTTGTTCACTAAAAGCTAGTTAATTGTCTTCTGCATCATGAAGTGCTTAGAGAACCCCATCACTGGGGGACAAGTCTTTCTTGCTAATTGTTTTCTTAATTATTTTACATGATTGATTATAAACATTCCATCTTACAGCCATAAATAACAACAATCATTACGGAAGGAAACACTAAGTTAATCACTATCAAAGCTCTCAAAAAGAAAAAAAAAAAAGAAATCAAGAGACTTGCTACTTCAGCTTGACCTTGTAGAAGCAGTTTTGGAGTTCAGTATAAAACCAAGCAGCCCTTCTTTCTCCTGCTCTTCAGGTTTGGGATTTGGCCAAGCTGAACACACAGTAACAACAAGGACCTGCGAGGGGTATTAATTGAAATGCCATGGATTTCATACTGTGAGCAGGTATTTACAAGGTTTTCAAAGGTTAATTGAGAACAGCAGAAGTTGTATGGTCCTAAGTGACTAAGACACCTTTCAACCCCAACTCCAAATTAAATGTTTGATCTAAGGTGTTTTCATTTTTTTCTAGAGTTCTCAAACTGCAGGTGACAGAGCCTTTTACATGCAGAACGTGTGCCACTCCCGTCTCCTTGATTCACATCCCAAGTGTCTGTAATGGATGTTGCAATGAGGCCGTTGCCTTGCTTCTCTTCATTTGAAGGCACATATTCCTTCAAGAGAACCTATCTGTTCAGCTCATAGAATACAAGTCCAACAAGGCTGAGATGATGCAGGCCTAACAAGTACAGGGAAGGAGGCAAACATGACAGTTATTCACACACTACAAACAGCTCAGCACATAATAAACACGCCTACCTGACACACTGTGATGCTCATTGGTTTTCAACATTTCCAAAGTACTCCGAGACAAAGGTTTATGTAGTTGCAGGGTTTTATTTCATTTTAATTTTGATGTTCTTAAAAGACAAGACTTTCATCCTTAAGCTAAATCTTCTGTACAAGACCATAAATACTTGGCCATACAAAGGAGGAACTCAAATAGTCAAGAGCCTGAGCCTCCCTAACAGGAGTTCAAAACATGTGACATCTTGCCACAAATTAAGCTTCCATGTGGATTTCTGCTTGCTGGCTACTTCACAACAGCTACCAGAATACAGCCATGTGTCATGCAGAAAAAAATAGACATGTCAACCTTTCATCATCTAAAAGGATATACGCATCTGAATTGCTGTTTTGTACCACACACCCTCCACTACAATTAACACGTGACGAGTGAACCACGCACAAGAATTATTCTAGTTACAAAGGCATTTGCAATGCTTTCCTTGTACTGCATTTTTTCCAGGACACAATAAGGAACTCCCAAGTAGACAGCAAATATGTTTTTCTTGGAGAATGTAGCATCTACATGAAGAGCAAATGAGAAAATGAAGACATTTTCCAACAGCTTATGTGAAAAAGTTAGCAAGCAAAAGAATTTAATTATTGTCATTTTACCTGTATGTGTTACTTAAAGTAATTTTTCTCCTCCGGTTTTGACCTTTCCACAGTCTCTCTCACAAGTTTTACAATTAAGTCAATAGTTCAGTTAGACCACATTGTAGCATATTTAATTAGATGTATCTTGATACGTTCCTCTGAAGTCAAGATATCAAAGTGTCAGAAGATCCTGAATAATGAAACCTTTTTTTCCGAACTGTTAAAGCCTGACATATGCAGAAACACAAGCGAGAGAACTGCACACACTGAATCGAAGACTGAAACCTACAGATCCTTTACTATCTGCACTAGTACTAATTCACCACCACTCCCAAGAAAACAGAGGTTTGGAAATTTTCAGCCCTTATTATTACCATCATGCTTGTAGCAGACAACATAGAGGTCAGACTTCTCTGTGAAAATTAAACAGACCCATTTTCTGGATATTCCAAAAGAAGTCCGTCAAATGAAGTAACTAAGTGATCCATGACAGACTCTATTGTTCCACCAAAACCCATACCGCCATCAGGAATTTCATTTATCTCCAAGCGGGTTTGGGAAGTTTTGGGTGGCAAAGACCCAAGTCCCAAACCCAGCTTCACAGGTCTGAGCAATTGATTCCTTGGGAGGGCTGTCTCACAGAACTGAAACAGTGGTCAGTGATTCCGGGCTTGTTTTAGTTACAAATAATTAACAATGACCCTAGGCAAAGAGGCACTTGCTCCCACGGCCAGCAATGCAACATGATTCCACTGCCGCCTCCCCATCCTACTCCAACAACTCTGCACAGTACAAAGAGGAGTAACTGTGTGACTACTTCCAGGATACACTAATTTTTTTGAAGCATTTGGAAGCAGTGTCACTTGCTTTTTAGTAAAGAATGCAAACAACCGGAATTTTAAAATAAGCATGAACACATGCAGATCAATCTGTAAAACTTTACCTGACTTATACATATTAAGTATTTGAATGTTGAATCGTTCCTCTTGCTCCCAAGGGCCACGGAGTATTTATGAAGGCACTTGGACAAGACATTCTTAGGAAAAGATCATCCAGGGCAAGCCGCAGCAAATAAGAAAGGGACAACCGAAAAAATCACTCCTGCATGCCACAGGACAACACAAAGAAACAACAAACTTGTGAAATTGCAAAGCCCTACAGGGCAAAGGCATGTTCACAGGAAGTTTGCAAAAAGTCATCAGCTCAATAAGCTAGTGAGCAACTGAAGACACCGAGACTTGCAGAGCTCGGGAACTTCAGGAAGAAGCTTCACAAAGGGCATACCATATTCCTTCATACAAAACCAAGGAAGTTAACTTTTATTTGAAATTATATGGACGTAGAAATGGCTACCAGTTTTTTCCAGTTAGTGGTAAAAAAGCATGCAAATGAGGGAAAAAAACAGCTTCACTTAAATTCAGTTGCAAATGAGCATCTATGGACACAGTAAGCATAACATGAAAAGTATCAGATTACATACTGAAAACAGGTCTAAAAGTACAAAAGATAAAACCCTCCAGACATATTTAGTGTTCGTGGAGTTCTTCAGCAAACACAGAGCGCTTCTCTGCTTTGGCAAACAAGGTGCTTTAAAGCATGTCACCTTTACGTATCTGGAAGTCTGAATTAATTGGGTCAACAAGAGCAGAAGCAGCACAAAGCAGTTATCATATGAAAGGAGACAACCAAGTTTTCTCCTTCATTACAAGTGAGGAAGAGGGTGATGTTTCTAAGCTGCGTACTAGGAAGCAGTGGAAACCCACTGCATCGTGGCCATCCTGAGTAGTTATGCACAAAAGAACAAGTTTGGGACCAAATACACAATTACCACGCCAAATTGGTCATCTGAAAACAGCCAAAGGACAATAAGCTATCCACTTGTTGTAAAGGTCAGGCAAGAGGTGGAGCACAAAGATAACCATCTAAGAAGGCGTATAACATGGCATCTGTGAATCC